GGTTTGGCTAAAGGAGAGCTTGGGCCCAACCCTTCCCCGAGTGGTGCTTATGGACATGCTCCTTACGAGCAGGCTGGAAGCTGCGTGTGCGGCTCTCACGGTGCCGTGAGAGGTAGCACAAGGGCTGCGTCGCCACTAAGGACTGAGCCTGAGGCCCACCTGCTCCTGGGGAGATTCTCCCTACACAATCCCTCACCTGTGCCCAACGCGTCCACGGGTCCTGTCCTTCCCAACTGTACCCCGCACCCTCAGTCCATCCACCTCTGCATCCCCACTGCCTCCACCAGTGCAAACCCCCATTGCCACTTGGACTGGGTGGCAATGTCTCCTCACCAGTCCCCATTAGTTCTACAGTCACTTCTCTTTAAAGCACGAGGAAAGCCAAGCTCCTGTGATGAAGCACGAGGTCTTCCCCTGACATCACCCTCTCTACTCTGCCAGTTCTCTGCTGTCCCCGCAGTCAGGGGTCAGGTCCCCTCACCTCAGTGCCTTTGCGCTTGCCAGACCTTTTCTAAAGGGCTGGTTCCTCTTCAGCCCTTGGAGTTGACTCAGAAGTCCCTTCCTCAGAGACATCTTCCCTGCAGCGGGCCTGATCCACCCTGCCCAAGAGACTCTGCGAGAGTGCTGCTAATTTGCTTCGTAGCATTAACAATAAAGTAAAATCCTCTGGCTTATTAATGTGTTAACTTTAGAGCTTATCCTTATTAACTAGGCTGTAACCTACAAAGACTGCGCTTGTCTGGCTTACCTCCGTCCTAAAACAGTCAGGCCTTGGTCAACATTGGTTAAACAGATGGATAGGTGAGTAGACGGCTGGTGGATGAGTAGATGGACAAATGGGAAGATGGACAGATGGACGGATGATGGGTAGAAGCATGGAGGGATGAGTGGGTGGCTGTCTGGGTAGAGGCCAGGATGGAGCTGTTCAGCCTAGAGGGAGACCCTGAGGTCTGTCCCCTGTCCCTCCCAGGTAGACGCCTCCTGGGGTCCCAGGCTGAGGATTTGATTAGAGGAGTGGGAACTTGAGATTCCCCTTCCTGTGTTGACATATGTTTTCTGAAATGACACCAAAACCTCTGTAAAGTGCCACACAGAAGTGGCCCCTCAAGCCTTTGCTGTCTGACCCTGATCAACGTGGACATTTCTGGTCCCCTCTCTTGCTGTGTCTGGGCAGGTGGAAGGGAGTCCCCAGTAGGGAACAGCTAGAGGAATCAGAGTCGTGCCCAGCGGACAGGTGTGTCTTAGCAATTGGCTCTTTACTCTGAGGAGTTGTGGACATGAGGGGTGTGACGGTGAGAAACCGCCTTGGCTCAGAGACATTTCCACCAAGTCTTGCCTCCCATTGTGCTTTTATCACATCCACACCTGCAGTGGAGTGGCCTTGGCCCTGTGCCTCCCGCCCAGATGGCAGCCACACACCCACAGCAGATGAGTGGCCCGTGGGACTGGCATGGCACCCAGGTTCCCAGCACACAGCAGGCTACTTCCAATATGAATTCTGAGGAGGCTCATGCCCTGCCCACTGTTCTACACCTGAACCTCACGACCATGCCATCCAATACCCCTTCTGCTCGAGAAGAGGCACTGATGGTCATCCTCTCGCTGCAGACCGGCCTGGAGCCAGGCTAGTCCCAGGGTAACAGTGACATGCAAAGCTGCCCGCCTCCTCATGCACAAGCTCCATAGGGCCACCCAGCCAGCTCCAAGTCTGGCCACCTGCTGGATCCCCAACTCCATGGGCCCCTTGGGCTAACGCTGCACCCTCACGAACAAGCTCAGGTGCCCAGGCACTACCCCAGGTCACAGCATCACTTCACCTTTCCCACAATGCTTTGGGATGTGATGAATTCACCACCGCTACTCTGGGCTCTCTACTCACCAGCTTCGCCCAACGCCAGGCAGCTGTGTAGCATCTCCACCTGGACTCTGTGGTCCAGCTGACCAGGCCTTGCCCCTGGGCCCAGACGTTCGCTCGTGGGGCCGAAGGCGGTCCCCTAACGTGGCCTTCCTTTTTCAGCATCAGCGTCCTTCTCTCAAGGGCAACAAAACCCCTGCTTGGCAAGGTCCCTGGGAGGGCTCGATGGCTGCCCCGGGAGCAGGGCAGTGCTCATCAGCACGAGGCGGCTGGCACGCAGCCGAGATGAGCACGGACTCAACCCTTGTTTCTTTTACTGAAACAGCGGGTCTCGTGAGGCCCAGGGCTTGTCTGATCCCTCACCACAAGACGGGAACAGCTGACTCTTCATTTTGCTCAAGGACAGAACATTTTAACACTTGCTTAGAAGCTACCAGTTGACCCCCAGGGTGGCCCAGGCATCCTTCTTCTCTGTGGTCCCAGCTTCTGGGACAGAGCAGGTATTCAGCATACACGTAAAAGCCCCCATCTGGGCCTGAAACACGGAGATTCAGAGCTGGCAGGGGTCTTGGAGGTCATACAGTCCCACCTTGTGTGACATTCTGGCAAGTAAATCCCCAGAATAGGGAACCCTGCTTGGCTCCCTCCAATGGCGGGGAGCTCACCACCTCCTGAGGCAACCTGTTCTACGACAGTTCTGAGTGTCTTCCTTCAGCTGAGCTGCAGCCTGTGTCCCTGGGGCTGTCCAGTCCTGCTGTCAGCAGTGGGTCATACCTTGGCTACATGACTCCCAGCCAGTGTGGCTCCGTGGTCATCTCTCATCCCTGGTCCATCAAGTCAGGTCCTTCCAACACTCCTGTGAGCCCTGTTTCAGTGTGGAGGGCACATGCAGGCCCACCCATCCACGTACGCAGGCACCTCTCTGCCCGAGAGATGCAGGCCTGGCTGGGGGGGGGGGCCTCTCTGCAAGAGCCATAGCTGAGGCCCAACTGTTGCCAGGACCCTTCTGGCCTTCGGAGGGCACTTTCTACCTGAACCCCCACTTTTACACAGGCAGCCCTCCCCTCAAGTTAATCATGGTAACCACTTTCCCAGGCGGCTCATGAGCCGTGGTACTGTGTACCACTGGGCTCACCAGACCCTCCTTGCTAGAATGGGAGCCCAGTATGAGTATGACAGGCCCACTGACCATGGCCGCTTGTGCAGGGCCCACCATGACAGGATGTGTCCTGCCGCTGCAGAGATGATTCATCTGGCCCAAACAGAGCCTTACTCGGAGAAGCTGTGGTCAGGTGTGGCTCCCTGGAAGCCGCCAGCCACAGATTACAACCTGGGCCTCATGGTCAACAAGTGGGCAATCATAGCAAGATCCTGAAAGCTTGCAACACCTGCTGGGGATGGGGGGGCGGTCCTGGCCCCCACTGGACATGCTATTCCTGACTTTGTACATTTTATTTACAAAAGGGGTGGCAGGAAAAAGTCAGTGTTGAAATGAGGTCCAACTAGCAATTCCACTCCTAGGTTCAAACAAAGCCTTACATGCGAATGTCCACGGATTACCCTGCAGGACAGCCAAAGGGTGGAAAGCACCCGGAGTCCACTGACGATGAAAGGAAAAGCCTCGTGTGGCCTCCCCCTGCAGGGGAGTGTCAGGCAGCCTTACAAAGACAAGAATTTCCCGAGGACCAGCCCAGTGATAGGACCTAGGCACACAAAGACACAGACTGAGTGATTCCACTGACAGGAAGTGCCCAGAACAGGGGCCGGGAGTCACCATTGAATGTGGCCCAATGAAAGAGCTCTGGGGGTGGGTGGTGGTAACGGCGCCGCGACCCTATGAGTGGTCTTAATGTCACTGACCTACACGCTTAAAAATAGAAGCCCAAGCCCAAGAAACGTTTCTTTCTGCATATTATGTGTATTTTGGCACAATAAGAAAATACTGGGATGGAGGAATGATGAAGTGTGGATGCCCCTGCAGTGTGGATGAGCCTCAAAACCATGATGCTGAGTGGAAGAAGCCGGACCCCACTTGGTGTCGTCACCCTCACACGCTGTATGGTTCCACTTACACGCAGCACCAGGATGGGCAACTTCACAGGGACAGAAAGCACGTGGGGCTGAAGGCAGGGGGGCGGGCGTGACGGCTAATGTGTGACAAAAACCCTTTGGGACCAGACAGTGGCAACGGTTGCCCAATATTGTGAACCTGCTAAATGCTGCTGATCTGAGCACTTAAAACGATAACTTTTAGGTTATGTAAATTTTACCTCAGTTAGAAAATAAAACCCCAAACAACCCAGGTGGGACCCCTCGGCAGGCAGGTGAGAGAGAAGGGAGCAGGCCCGAGCTGCTCTCTGTAGACTCCTGGGAGATGGGGAAGACCCCAGGGAGGGTGCTGGACCCTTCCCACCCTGGCCCCAGGCGCTGGCCTCTCCGGCCCGATATTTTCATGGTCCACCAAGAACTCTCTGAGTCGGGGCCTGGGCTCCCCACAAAAAGGGCCCCTTCGTGCCCTAGGCCAGCAAGACCTTTCCCTAGCAAGGCCTCCCCTAGAGGAAGAGGGACACAGGAACCCGAGAAGTCCCACAGCCTGTGCTGCACGGTTCCTGCAGGAAAACCCAATCCTGTGCCCACGCCCGTCCCATCATCAAAGGTACAGGGTTCTTTGCACATTTGCAAAAAGCAAACACATCCAAACTGGCTATGCTTAAAGGTCTGCCTGCGTGGTGTCACCCCTCAAGGGAATGGGCCTTCCTTAATGACGCCTGGAAGGTGCAGGAATGAATATGGGAAGTGCAGTTGGCAGAAACCCAGACCCAGGGCATCCTGAACGCTCCCCTGGGCCGATGCCACCACCCCCACACTGCCTTGCGGCTCCTGTGGCCAGTTGTGGTCACTTTTAACACCTGTGCTCCTTTTTTTCCAAAACAAAGCCGGCCAGCCCTCTCCCTGGGGCCACAGGTGTGTTCTGGCTGGACCCGAACTGCAGGTGCCACAAATACCAGGCAGGGGCCCGGGAAGACAGTGGACACGCAGGGGAAAGCAAGCAAAGCGGCCTGCAACCTGGAGGGTCTAGAGCTTTCTCGGCACAAAGGAGCATCTTTGACCAGAGGGTCCCGGCAGAGAAAGAAGTGCTTCTTACCTGGAAGTATCAAAGCTGTCATACGAGCCCACCGTGTAGTGTCTGAAGAGTTTCTTGCTGCGGTCTGCACGGGTTTCTGCACAGAGAGGGAAGAAAAACATGGCTTAGACAAATTGCGGTCCCAGAATGCTGAACCCACAGGAGGCTGACGGGGCTGCTCTCATCCCCATGAAGCATGAGATCCGCTCTCCTGGGGAGGTCTGGGCAAAAGATGTAGGCTGGTTCTGGACTTTGCAAACTCTGGGGAACATATATGAGCCTGGTGCTGACCACTGATGAGCCGAGAGTTCTGCTTCAGATGGAGGCAGAGTCCTGTAGGCCCCAGCCCCACGAGGAGGCAGGAAAAGTGTGTGCCTGGCAGGGAGGGCGGAGCAGCTCCAGCTCAACAGCCACAGCCCACTCCACACGTGGAACCTGCTGGAACATGTTCTAAAGTGATGCCCCCAGCCCTCAGCAAATGTGACAGCCGCAAATGACTGCCTCTGGGAAAAGAAAGAACGTTTATTGTTATTTTGTTGATTGTAGTTGCTTTCTCAAAAAACCCCAAACAAACAAACATGATCAACGTTTCTAATTAAGTCCTCTGCCCGCCTCCCTTACTCAGCAGATTTAGCGTAAACTTCTTGGGAAATGATATGAGCAATGCAATTAGATTTAATAAATGACCCAGTGCGGGAGGCAGAAAAAAAATCCCACAACACAAATACTTGAAATACAGCGGTTCCTGATTTAATGTTTAGATATTTTCCTCCCAAATAAGATTTCCTGCACAATTTCCTTCCTAAACCCAGCAAAACATTCAGAGAAATTATGCAACTGACTTCAAGTAAATGGCCTGAAATCTAATTTAAACTCTGTAAATAACCTCTCTGTTGTCAGCCTCTGCCATCTCATTTCTGAGGTAAATGTTTCTTTGTCTTGAACCCCAAGATGCACACTTGCACTTCAAAAGTGAACACTGGTGAGGGTATTGAGAACATCTGGCTTCTTTACAGCACAAGAGCTGCTCCCTGGAAGCACATACCCCCGTTTCTGTACAGGGTAGGGTTGCCATGGGGTGGGAGGAAGGGGGTGAGTGTCCCAAGCCCAAGACTACATTTCCCAGCTGCCTCAGCACCTGGGTGAGGCCACGTCATTCTCACCAATGGAAGGTGAGCACATGCAGGGTGGGGAGAAGCAGGTGTCCCAAGCCCAAGACTACATTTCCCAGGTGCCCTAATGGTGGGGTGTGGCAATGTTAGCAGTTCTCACCAATGGGACATAAGCACATGGGTTGGTGGAGGAGGCAGCTGTCCCTGGCACGGGACTACATTTCCCAGATGCCCTTGCGCCTGGTGTGGCCACATGAACAGTGCTCACCAATGGGATGTGAGCACACGGGGGATGGGAAAGGGGCCTGCCCTAGCCTAGGCTTCTGCAAAAGCCAGTGTGTTTTCCCTGCCAGCTCCCAGCTCAGGCCTCCAAGGTCCAGGAGGATGGTGGAGTCAACAGCTGGAGTCAAGATACCTTGGTCTCTGCACCGGACTGTTCCATGAGCAAGAATTAAATTTCTGTTGCCGTAAGCTGTGCTCTTGAGATATACCTGTTACAGCAGCCAGCACTGCCCTATCTGACATGCAAGACAGATGCCCTGTGATTCGGCCTCCACCTGCCTCTCCACCCCTTCCTCATGACCCCCACCCCAGCCTCAGAGGCTCTGTGGATTCAACACTGCTGATTCCTTTAACAGTCACATCTTCATCACCATCATCATCAAGACACTCAATGAGTTCTCCCATGTACCAGGCCCTGCTGTGAGGACATTTGCATATTTGATTGTTAAATGGCCTTGACCACCCAGTGTGGGGGTGGTTTGGGTGGGGGTGTGTGCACAGCCACTCTGCAGGCCCCGTTGAGTCCAGCCAGGAGCAGCCCGCCTCCTCCCACTTCACTGAGTGCCACTCTGCAAAGCCTTGCTCAGGACCATGGGTGCCCTCTCCAGGAAGGTACCTGTTATTTAAAAGAATAAACTCATTTAAGCTTAGAGCATCCTGCTATCTTAAGTGCCCGCCTGTGTACACTACATCACTCCGCACTCATCAACCGCTCCGTACTTGGGTATTAAAGTAACCTAGGTGATGGTCTTCAATGCAATGCTCTGACACTTACTAACGTTCATCTCTTTTCACAGAGCTAATTAAAAGCAATGACATTATATGAGCAAAATAAGCAACTTTAAAAAGTCATACATTATATGTAAATAGATTGCCAAAAATAAAGTTGCCAATAATACAAATTTCTGTCACTTTGTTATATATAAAAAAGGTTACTGAGATATAAAATTTTGGGGCTGCTGACTTAAAATAGCTAACGAGCTGTCGTCCTCTGCCCGCCTCTGTCTCTTTGCATCATCACCATCTCCATCCTCCCTGACATTTGCTCAGTCCTTCCCTGGATCTGTGGCCACTTAAACACATCGAGGAGGGGGAAATGGCTGGATCCATTTTATGGATCAGGACAATAAGGGCTGCCAAGACAAAGTCACACACCCACTAAATAGTGGCCCTGGCAGGCACAGGGGGACAACATCCACATTCCTCACCACATCATACTCTCAGATCCTAGGAGAGGGTCCAGACGACCCTGTGCTCTCCACAATACTCAAAGATGGGGACTTGGCCCTGTTTCTCTCTGTCTCACCCACCCCTGCTGTCTAACCCCTAGTAGATATGCAATGCCAACTCTTGCCAACATAACTGAAGGTACACATTGGGTGATTAGTGCACAAAACACACCACAAGCACACACCATCAGAGTGGCCTGAGTGCATGGGACCCTCACCAGGCCAGGCCCTGGGCCAGACAAGCTGCACACACCTCCCCCGTGCTCAGCATCTGGACTAACCGTGCTCAGATGCCCTGTGACTTCCTCGCTCCCCTCCCTGACACCCTGAGTTCTGCCCACATATAATTTCAGTCATCTTTTGTCAGATCCCCCTAGGAGCCAAGTGTGGTAATTGGAAGAACTCAGCAGGATGAGGCCTCAGGCCCTGATCTCTAGGGCTTAGGACCTCGGAGCTGGCTGCAGAAGGGACCCAAGGATGCTGGGGTGGGAGTGGGGCCCCAGCAGTCAGATGGCAATGTGGAAGGAGGATAGGCTGATATGCCTCTGGTCAGGCTGGGCCATCCATGTGTAAAGGTAATTGAGACTTAGACCTTTTTATGGGGAAGCAGAATAGCTCCTAAAGCCAATGAAGGCCCACAGGGACTGGCCATTAATTCTTATTATTACTCTTAATTACCTCTGTCCCTTAAGTCCCCATGTGGTGGCTTTGTGCTGGTTGTCTAGGGAACAGCATGTTGCAGAGAGCCAACTAAAGCAGGTTTCTGGCTGAGGTCAGGGGCTGCAGGGTCTAGAAGGAGAGTGGGGAGAGTGTAGTGGAACATGTGTGTGAACACACATGAGCATGTGTTTACCAAAGGATAATATTTCAAAGAGGGAATGATTTCTAGGCCAGACCAGTTAGCCAGTGGTCCCCAGACTTCAGGATTTCATGATCAATACAATTTTAAACAGTGAGGAAGGGTAGACCAATGCAAGATATATCAAGTTTTTAACTTGGCTCAGTAAAGACATTAAAAACAATAAATTCCCCTCTGCTGTCACTCTAAGAGAAAGGGATTCTTTAGAAAAGACATTATCTTTGAGTCCCACTAAACAAGTCTTCCCTGTCCTTAGCTCCCAGAAACAGTCACACTGCTCTGAGTTATAGAACTGAGGGGCAGGGAAAGGGACATCATCATCATCACAGTCATGACCACCATCACCACCATCACCACTGTCATCATCAGCATAGTCATCATCATCCTCACCACCACTATCACCATCACAGTCATGACCACCATCACTACCATCATCACCATGGTCATTAC